AGACCACAGATAGAGCACATATTAATTTTCTATATACTTGTATGTCAAACCTGACAGTGTAAAAAAAGAAACAACTGACAGTTTCTTTCTTTCTTTCTTTCTTTCTTTCTTTCTTTCTTTCTTTCTTTCTTTTTTTTTAATGCATTCAGTACAAGGTCTATAGAGTCTCACTACATAGGTCAGATTAGTAGTGATTCTCCTGGGCTGGGGAGATGGCTCACTAGAATAAAAGCTTGCCCGGCAAGCACAAGGTCCTGAGTTCAATCCCTGGTTCCGCCAAAAAAGAAAAAAAAAGTAGTGGTTCTCCTATTTTCAGCTTCCCAAGCACTGGGATTACAGGCTTGCAACATCACGCCCAGTCTCAATCACCATCTCAGCGCACCCCGCGGGCAGGGCCAGCACTCTGGGGATCAAATCCCAGCTACTGTGCTTTGCCTAAGCAGGCACTTGAATCCGCTGAGCTATCTGGCCGACCCTAAACCTGGAAGTTTCTAAAACTTGATAGCCTTCAAACCAAAATTCAAGAGAAACACAAAACGGAAGTATGAAAGTGTGGCTTCAAAATTACATCTTTATCTGGAATTGGTGGCAAATGCCTAGAATCTCAGCACTCAGGAAGTTGAGGCAAGAGGATTGCTGAGAATTGCAGGCCAGCTGGGCTATACAGTAAGACCCTGCCTCAAAAACCTCCTCTTGGGGGCCTGCCCCATAGCTCTGTTCTTTAAGTGGCTGCTTCAACAAAGCGGTCAGGCTCACAAACCTGCCCTGAGGGCATTCTGAGCCAAAAAAAAAACCTCCTCTGGGGGTTTCCTGCCTGAGGAAGGGTCTGAGCCCAGGTTCTTTTGAATGAAGGAAGAGTTTTCCCCTTTAAAAAGTGTCACACTGGAAGTGTGGCCCACAGTAGAGCTACAACCTCTTTTAAAGAAAAAAACAGGCCCGGGAGATGGCTCAGTAGAACAAGTGCTTACCTGGCAAGCATCAAGGTTCTGAGTTCAATCGCCGGTACCACAAAAAAAAGAAAAAAACAAAACTTCAAAATTGAAAAGGGGTGTAGCTCAGTGGGAGAGCATGCATTTAGAATGTGGAAGGCCCTGGAGTCAATCCCAAGCATCCCAAAAATGTGTATAAAAGAACTAAACCAAAATACGGTCAACTTCTCTGTTCAGCAACAGTATTTACCCTCTTTATCCCATACAAAAACCTTGCATTTATTTGATAATATTTTTGCTAAGCAGAGCTAGGCATGGTTGTACAGGCCTGTAATCCTGGTACTCAGGAGGCTGAGGTAGGAGAGTTGCTATGAGTTCAAGGCCAGCATGGGCTGCATAGTGAGTTCAAGGCCTGCCTCAACTAAATAGTGAGACCCGGTCTCAAAAAAACAACCCATAATTTGGTTTTGTTTTCTGCTAAGCAAATACTAAGAATTCCCTTTACCACAAAATAAAAAAGAAGTAAAATTCACTTTGGTATTGAGCACAACAGTTCTACTTCCCTAAGGGTAATATCAGCTAACAAGCAAATAAGAAAGAAAAGGAGGGAGGTCAGCTGGAGACACGCAATGACCTTTGCTCACTAGATGAGGGAACTGGGCCCCAGAGAAATGAAAAAAAAGATTCATCCCTCACCACAGAGCAGGCGGCTGGGACATGGCCAGCCACCCCCACCCTTGTGCCTCCCCCAAATAGAGACTCCAGGTGGAGAAGTGGGTGGCCTGGCTGGGGTGGGGGTTGGGGATGGCAGCCCTGGTGTGCAGACCCTGCCAAGTCAGTTTTCCTCCTCTCTGACCTGCTCCTCTGGGGGTTTCCTGCCTGAGGAAGGGTCTGAGCCCAGGTTCTTTTGAAAGAAGGGTTTTCCCCTTTAAAAAGTGTCACACTGGGGATGTGGCCCACAGTAGAGCTAAGCTTAACGTGCACGAGGCTCCTGCCCCATCCTGAGACCACAGTGACTTTGTTTTTTTAACTACCCAAAGTATGACCCTTCTAGACTCTGGGCTGTAACTTCACCCTCCGATGCTCTTACTTGGCCCCACATCTGCTGAGCTGTGTTGAAGGAATTGAAAGGCCGTACAAACAGTCATCCTCGTCTGGAAGCCTGGGAGGTGCTGGCTCAGGCTCCCCTCGGCGGCAGTTTGTCCTGCTGTTCCTGGCAGCAGCTGGGCCTGTGAGCTCACCTTCCTGCCTGTAATACATGCTGGGCGAGGCCTTTATCCCCAGGCCCATTCTCTTAAGTATGCTGCCAGCTTGCCATCTGCTCTGCACCCGGTACTCAGACCCTTACTGCGCTGCTCCCAGGTAGCTTTGGAAGGGGAGCAGCCCATGCGGCAGGAGTCCTGCAAGTCTGGTTCCTCGAGCCTGGTTCCTCAGGGCTCCGCTTCCCCACCCTGGCCCCAGCTCTCCTTCCCCAGCTGCCTCACACCACCCTAGCACCCACACCCTTGCTGCTGGCCTGGGACAATCCCGTTGTCTGGATCCTGGTACCAAGACAGCTGTACCATGGAAGATAGGGGATAGGGAGGGGTTCCTAAATGGCTCTGGGCCAGCAAGGTGGGCTGAGGCCTGCTCCATGCAGCCACAGGGGCCATGGCTGTCTCTGTTCACCCCAGGTCAGAGGGACCACCTGCCTCCTTTGCCTGTTGAAAGAGGGAAACATATACCTGTTTGGGGGTTTTGGGGTCTTTTCACGACCGGGTAACAGGGCGTCGGCCTGTACTGGCTCCCTCCCCTGCAGACCAGTTCCAAGCTACCTCCTGACACTGTAGCAGCCAGCAAAGTGGCTCTGCCACTGCACTGGAAGCAGACCCGTGGCCAAGGTTGGGCACAGGCCAGATAGGGCCAAAACCCAATGCTCCAGAGCCTAGAGTGGGGAAGAAAACCATCTTGGTCAGGGTGTCTGCTGGTGACCCTGCTTTAGAGGGCAGGAGCTGGGAAAGAAGCCCAGTGAGACCCCACCCCCACCCTGTCCCCCGTGTATGCACAAGGCCCTGGGTCCAAGCCCCAGCTTCCACAGACAAAAAATTACAGTAGATATTTGGGCTTCAAACACCTGTGAGGCTGTAGCTCAGAATCACTGCAGATGATGGAGCCCAGGCAGCAGCTGCCCTAGGACTAGTTGAGGCCGCTGCCCGCTAGAAGTCAACTAAGGTATCTAAGAAGCACCCACAGCAGAGATCCTGCCTGGCTCTCAACACCAGGAGGCCTCACTTGCTCACCTCTTCGCAGAGGCTGCTGATAAGGCAGAGCACGTGAGTAGGGAATCTTGTGCCCCGGGCTTGATTTGCTTTCTTCTCTCCCCCCACCCTTCCCTCCAGATGCATGAGGTGCATGACCTGTTCGCGGTCGGCAGCGGTGAGGCCATGCTGCAGCTCATCCCTCCTTTCCACTGCCGAAGACACTGTCAGTCTGTGGCCATGCCTGTGGAGGCCGGGGACATTGGTACGTAGGGCTCAAGAGGGCGGGGACTCTGAAGACCTCTTTAGCTGGGTTTGGGTTGCGCTGGGTTGGGCTGGGTTTTTTGTGACCAAGTCTCTCATGCAGTCCAGGCTGGCCCTGAACTCGCAAAGATCTTCCTGTCTCAGCCTCCTGAGTGCTGATGTCACAGGGCTGGGATCCCAGGGGTGCATCACCACACCCAACTAAGTTTTTAACTCAAAATATTCAAAGCAGCAAATACTGAGTTGGGGATATATAACTCACCAGCATAGGTGCCTGCCTGGGCAAATAAGAGGTCTCGAGTTCAGTCCCAGTACAAACAAAACAAAAAACAGCACTAACTACTGCCTTCACAAAAATAGCATTTTTTCATTAACAGGATTGATATATCTGTGCTTAGAAATAAAACAACTGAAGTAGCCAAGAGAAAAGACTTTCACCTACAACACTGCAAAGGCATGTCTGCTGGTCATAGAAACTGCGTCAGGGGTGGGGAGATAGTTCAGTAGAATAAGTGCTTGCCTGGCAAGCGCAGGGACCTGAGTTCAATCCCCAGTACCGCAAAACAAAACAACAAAAATACAAAGAGAGAAAGGAGAAAAGTTTGGGGCTGGGGAGATAGCTCAGTAGAATAAGCACTTGCCTGGCAAATGTAAGGGTCTGAGTTCAATCCCCGATTCCACCAAAAACAAACAAAAACTGCATCAGAAGGGATTCTGGAAAGTATTTAGACAAATTCCTAATTTTACAGATGAGTAGGTCAAGGCCCAGGGAAGGAACTGGTCAGGCAGGAGATCAGGTCAGCCAGGGGTGAGACAAATCAAGACTAGGGGAACCATTTCTCGGCCTGCACTGCGAATCCGGTGACACCAGGTGGTGTTCAGGGCCGCAGGCCTAGGAGGAAACGGTGCTTCTGTGCCAGCCCCTCAGTCACATCACAGCCTCCTGCTGTTGGCCTTCTCTCCGTGTTGTCCTGCCAACACGCACTCTGCGCCTTTTCTCCTGAAAGCTGAAGCTTAGCCGCTGGCAGCAGCAGCCACCCTCCCTGCAGCCTTTGGGTGGAAGTTGATGCAGGGGTGGGCGTCACCCTGAACCCTTTGTACACTTCCTGCCTTGCTGGGTGAGGCTGTGGGGGCTGGCGGAGCCCAGACTAGTGTTCCAGTACATTTGTTTGAGCTTCAGGCATTCATGAGACCCTAAATTCCTAGAAACCTTCCCACTCCTTTGAGGGTAGAGAGCAGGCAACAAGTGTGTCAAGTTTTGGTTCAGATTACAAACATTTCAATTTAGGAATGAAATAACTCGTGAACAGACTTGAAAAGGTGTCTGGCTGTGCACCGGAGCTCTGAGCCTCAGAGCCCGTTGGCACTCCCTTCCCACCATGCCATGAGCCGCCGGTGAGCTAGCTGACCAGATGGAAGGAGCCCTGTGGCCAGCAGCGTCTACAGCGTCAGCCCAGGATGGGGTGCATGGGGGGGGAGCTGGACAGGTGGGGAGCCAGCTTGGGAGAAGGAGGGGGGAAGCGGGAGAGGACAGCGTAGCAAAAGCAGTGGCAAGGACAGAACCACACTGCAGCCGCCACCGCCCTTGTGACACTGGAGACAGGAGAACTAGCCTGTGCTGCAGAAAAGAGCCAGGGGTCTACACAGCTAGGGTAGCTATGGTTCAAGACCTCAGAAAGGTCTGTGACAAATCCTTATGGTGCCACACACTGAAACCTGTCCCACGTCCCTGCCTCATGACAGGCGGGTGCCACTGGCTCCATAAATATTTCTATCCAGAGGCGCTGGCTCTTCTTGTTTCTTGGAGTTACTGTGATGGGTTCAGAAAAGCTCAGTCTGAGACCCACTCTTGGTTCCTAAGTGTCCGAGACACTATTGCCAGCCTCGGACACCGAGATGGTTGCTTTTCCTGTCCCTCATGGGAGGGTGCAGTGAGCCGTGCTGTATGGTGTGGCAGTGGCAGTGGCCAGCCTGATCCCATCTTCCTGGAGAAAGCTGAGTCCGAGGCTTCCTGGTGGTGTCACCGAGCTCTGCCCCCACAGGACTTGAATGACAGAGGCCCATGTCCCTAGGCCCCAGAGATGGGCACTATAGCCCTGGGCACCCAGCGCTCTTGGGTGGGCAGGCTTAGGGCTGCTCAGTACATGTCAGAAGGCCTCCCAGGAGCCTGGCAGCTGTCACACTGACTTCACTGTGGGATCCTCTCTGAACTATCTCATAGGACACTGCTGTTCAAGGAACCCACCTTGAAAACTGCTGCTTTCAGTTTATGAGGACACACTCTGATGACACTGTTTCCAACAGCCCCTCAAACCCATCCAACCTTGCTCAAACCCATAGGATCAGACTGAGAGCTGAGGCCCTGCACCAGTCTCTGCAAACCCACCGGAGCCTGGTTTACACTGCCTGGGGCAGGGCATAGGGAAGGCTCTTGGGTTAGAAGTGGCACCTACTGGTGCCAGGTTGTTGAGTAGTGACGGGCACTGCCCTGCAGGAGAACTTGCCCTGGCCTCTGCAGTGTGCACTCCTGCCACTGACAAGCGTTCCTGTCACTGTTTCCCTCCAAGGCTATGCCAGCGCCACCCACTGGAAGGCCTACATCATAGCCAGAGGAACCCAGCCTTTGGTCTTCTGCGATGGAACCACGCTCTCAGAACTATAGGCAACAGAGCTACCTATGAGAACACTTCTGAGACCCACCGGAAAGCCAGGTGGAAAGAGGGGAAATAAAAACAGAAACAATGAAACCACTTTGTAGGGCTCGGTTGCTTAGTTGCCTGCCCTTTCCAGCATGCTGAGCCAGCTGCAAGCAGGAGAAGGAGCTGCCCCTGCCCCTCCTTGCTTCCCCAGATGCCTGGGAAGGACTTGAGCTGGCTGCGTGGCCTAGACTTTGCAGCACCTGCCTGTGAGAGACTTTGGCTCCTCCCGACCCATGGGCACTGCCAGGTCCAGCTACCAGAACCACCCTTAGGCAGGTGGGCCTGCCTGGCTCCTGCCTCCCGGCAGCATCACCCTAGGCTTTGTGGAAAGACATGGCTAATTAAAGAAACCAAGTCATTGCACTGCATAATTTCTGGAGGATGGAAGTAGAACCAGTGAAAAAGATCAGATAACCCTGAGTTGCATTTCAGAAGTGCATCTCGTGTCTGGGTGTGACTCTTAGAGCCTGGGTGGTGCTGCTGGGCAGGGCATGACTGCAGCGCTAGCGGGAGTCCCGTGGGCATAATGCCCCTCTGCTTTCTCGCCTTAGGTCTGCGTGGCCCCTGCCCCATCTGGGTGGTTTGGCGGCACTGACTGTCCCCTCCCCGGCCCAGGCCAGAGCTTTCCTATGCAGACGGCCCCTCCTGTCAGCTGTGGGGAGAGGATTCTCCTAGGATTTGATCTTTCAGATCTGACTGCAAGATGCCTTGCAGCTGTGTCACAGCGGATGGGATACAGCTCGGTAAGAGCTCCAGCTGCCGCGTTTCCAACCAGCTGTCCACACCTCTGTCCCGGTGTGCTGGGAGCCGAGGGGAGGCAGTCTTATATTTTTGTAATGATAGGAAGCTAAGTTCTGGTTAGGTGATTTGCTGTGCTGATTTGCTATGCTGATTGAGGTGCCAGCTACTGTTTGCACATAGTCTGGATTGAGCCTACACCATCTTCCACAGTGATTGTCTAGAACCCCCAGCAAAGTTGGCCCGTTGTGTTTTCTGGCAGGAGAAGGCACGGCCACAAGAGGGAAAGAGGCATCCAGTGGTCGTGTGGCGAGGGTGTCCAGCAGTGGGCGGTGGGGGGTCTTCCCCCATTCCAAGTGCTTTTTGTGTCTGAATCATATGGGGTAACGAGGGATTCTTGCCCTTTTCCTGCTTTCTATCCTTTCCTTAGCACTGTGGCCACCTGCCTCCTGTCACACCTCAGAGAGGAACGGAACCAGAGCACACCACGGCCTCACGTTCCCAGCTGCAGGTGTGAGTGGAGCATGGTAGACCGAGCAGGCTGTGTCGAGGCAGGGGACAGTGACCTTCGGGAGGTCTGCATCCATGGGGAGCCCATGCCCCTTCTCCCAAGCCCCTATGTATACCACGGACGTGAACCACGTGCATAGCTCTTTGTAGCTTTGCAGAAGACAAGCAGCTCACAGGGCTTGTGTGGGAACACCGAAAAGCCCCCTCCGTGGCTCAGATGACCCTGGATGTAGATGGACAGAGGAGAAACTACACTGTGTGTGGATGAAGGCCAGGAGTTGGCTGAGCCAAGGAGATAGCTCAGGGGCACAAGTGCCTGCCTGGCAAGCACAAGGTCCTGAGTTTGATTCCTGGTAACAAAAGCCACACTGCTAAGCAGGTTTTAAATCAAAGGGATCATCAGAGGCCAGCTCTAAGTGCTGAGCTACTGCTGTGTCCCCATCCTACTTCATTAAGGGTCGGGGGAGCAGGTGACAGGGTGAAACGGATGCAGGTCCTGAAGGCGGCAGAATTAACAAAAGGGAGTTTGCTTAGAGCAGAGTGAAGGGGCTGGCAGCTGAGCGCTGTTCTGTGGCTGTGGCTGCCTCTCTCCTTCGCGTTTTCCTTCTGCTGTTCACGTCCTACCTGTACTTCCGCTGAAGCTGTGAAGTGAGAAAGCCCTGAGGTAGCCTCCCATCCTAGTTATCTGAGGCTGTCTGTAGAGCACAGTGGGGTCCCCAGCAGCTCACTCTGGCCTGCAGGCAGCATGGGTCCCGCTGCAAGGTGCTTGTGTACCCATTATCCTCATTCGGAGGATAATGGGTACACAAGAGGTAGCGGCACCCCCACAGCCAAGGTGAGACCAAAGCCACTGGGCTGCAGTGTGGGGTAGGGGGTGGCACACAAGTCTGTAGAGGGCTTACCCGGATACCCACTTACAGGTTTTGGGGGGTATTTTGTTTTTTTCTTGGTTTTGGGGGTTCTTTTGAGGCAGGTTCTTGCTATGTAATTTAGGCTAGTTTTAAATTCACAGTGTAGCCCAAGCTGGCCTTGAACTTGCAGTGATCCTCCTGCCTCAGCCTCCCAAGTTCTGGGATTACAGGCATGTGCCACCACACCAGGGGTGCCAGGCTCCACCTGTAGGTTGGCAGGCTGTTTGTCACAGCTTGGAAGCACTTCCTGTGAGACTCTGAGGTCTGCAGAAGCCAGGTTCTGCGCTGCATGGATACCATACCTCTTGTGGTTTAGGAGAAGCCGAGCTCGGCCTCATGCACCTCCCACCATACCAGGGTCGGGAGAGTGTAGATAGTTGTGGCTTATGACAACAGAAATCTGCTGCCTGGAAATACAAAGCAGTGTGTGAAATGGGCAGAGCTGGCCTGGCTGGCTGAAAAAGGGAGAGTTAGGAGCCGGGGAGACGGCTCAGTGGAATAAGCGCTTCCCTGGCAAGCGCAAGGGCCTGAGTTCAATCCCCGGGGCCACAAAAAAAAAAAAAAAAAAAAAAAAAAAAAAGAAGAAGAAAAGAAAGAGAGAGTAATGAGAGTACTGTGAGACCAGAATGACCCGGTGCAGTGAGTGCTTCACATGCCCTGCCTGATGCCCTTGACCGCCTCCTGCCCAGGTGGAACAGGCAGCAGCTGTTCATCGCCCACGGGAAGAAACTCAGGTGTGGAGCAGCACTGGTGCAGCGCCCGCGGGAGCTGTGGACCAGCTGTGCCAGCGTGCGGCGAGCAAGCCAGGGCCTCAGCAGGGTCTGTCTGCATCACTCCTGGGCGGCACTGGAGGAGGAAAACACTAGCCATATGATTTTTATAAAAAGGCTTGCACTTTCCCCTCCCATTCGAGTGTAGCTGGAGCCCAGCTGTGTCCAACCGCTTTCCTGTCACCGCATGGTTCCAGATGTGTGACCTGAGGAACGCTCTGCCCACTTCCAGCTGTGGGTCCCCTTAGAGTTATGTCACTTGTTTTTCAGTTGTCTTCTGTTGCCTTCTCCCAGAATCCAGTTTTGGCCTCTGCATAGGTGCGATCATTATCGGAGGCCTCAGACTCCTCAGCACAGGTGCCGGCTACCGTCTGCACGTAGTCTGGGAAGAGCCTGCACCAGCTCATGTCTTCCACAGTGATTGTCTAGAACCCCCAGCAAAGCTGGCCTGTCATCTTTTCTGGCAGGAGAAAGCAGGTCCACGAGAGGGAAAGCGGCATCCAGTGGTCATGTGGCGAGGGTGTCTGGTGGTATGCAGAGGGGGCTTCCAGGCTCCTCTGGCAGTGGCGTAAATGCCCAGGTCACAAGTCCTTCACTCACTGTCCTTCAGTGATGAGCCGCCATTGGCCAGCACAATGTGAGAAGGGAGTGTCAGAGACTTGCTTTACTGTGGCCCTCCGGGTTGAGATTCTGCTGGGTTTGGACCTGCAGATGGATCTGGAGCCAGCACAGCTGGATAGGAGGTTGGAAAGTCCAGGCAAGGCCAGGCATGGAGGCACTCGCCTCAGGAGGCCGAGACAGGAGGATGGCTGGCAGCTCAAGCCCAGCCTGGAATACATAGTGAGACCCTATCATCTCAAAAAACAAACCAAAAAAGGGCCAGGGAGATAGCTCAGGAGCTTAAGTGCCTACCTGGCAAGTGCAAGGTTCTGAGTTCAATCCCTAGTACAAAAAAAAGCCAAGGTGACTATGGGAAGGGTCCTACAGCAAAGACAGAATCCCCTGGTGCCCACAGCCTCCAGGCCCATATAACCCGACTCTGCAGCCCCTCTCACAAGAGGATGTCAGGGACACAGGCAGTACTTTCCTGTTGGGCACCCTGGGCTGGCACACAGAAGCGACCCTCTGGCCAGCTGCTCTGCTGTGCAGCCTCTGCTTGCCCCGCCAGCGTAAGTCAGGCATCAGTGCTAACTGCATCTGTCATTTTCCCCTCTGGAGACAGGGATGTGTCCAGCCATTTTCCGGGCAGTGGGGAGACAGCGTGTTTATTATGTAACCCAGCAGAGGCCTGGAGCTGGAGACCTTCCGCCTCCGCGTGGTGCTGTCAGCAGGCAGTGGTCACTGACCCAAGAGCAAGCCGAGCTGGGAGAGGGAGGCCCCGGCTGGGTTCTGAGTCGAAGCAGCAATGGGGGAGCTGGAACATCGCTTGTGCCAGTGTCACACGCCAGGCCACGCTTCAGCACAGCTCTGGGGTGGGTGGGCTCACACAGGCAGCCACATCCAACTCCAGGTTGCCACCTTGCATGGTGCTGTGAGTTGGCACTCAGGGCAACCCCAGCCTCGCCCATCTCAGGCTTGCCTTCTGCTTTCTTCCCTGGTGCCTACTTGCATCCTCAGGGACAGCAGCCTGAGACCAGCCTGGCTCATCTTTGGGGAGCCCAGTGGTGGTGGCTGGAAAGTCCCAGTGAGCAGAGGGCAGGAGATACTGGTCCCAGCGGCAGGTGTCGTTCACGTGTGTGTTGCGTAGAGCGTGGGTGTGTGAGACTACCCTGTGTAAGAAAGTACGGAAAGTCGTCTCATGTAATGGAAGGTGGTCCTTTTTGCTATTAAAAATGCATATGTTGGTAACAATGCCCTGATTCTCGGTGTCATCCTTTAATATCCACTCTTCTTATTTACTGTCCCCGTAAGACAGGAGACTTGTAGCCACGTCCTGCTCAGGATACAGGTCCCGGCCTTCTCACAGGAGGGCAGCCGGGCTCATGCCAGCTGCCACCAGGCAGCAGGCCACTTGGCCCGTGGCCCTCGCTGTGGACTGCGCTCCGGCTGCCCCCGTGTGTCCGCGTGATGCCTGTTGTGCACGCGCACTGCTAACGCCCTGGTCACTTTCCTGCTCCCCTGG